AATAAAATCTTTAAAAATATGACAGAAAAAAATTAATGGAAAAAATTATAGCATCACTGGACAGCAGGAAGATGTTATCAGTGGACAAGAAATTATATTTTTATTTTTTTATTTTTTTAAAGATTTTATTTTTAAGTAATCTCCACACCCAACATGGCACCTGAACTCACAACCTTGAGATCAAGAGTCACACATCCTACCAACTGAACCTGCCAGGCACCCAAGAAATTTTAAAGAATACCTCGAAATTAGCAAATATAGGAATAAGGTAAAATAAGAACATCAAAAAACCCACAGCCTTCCTGAGTGTCCCAGAGAAGTTCCAAATTCCAACCCAATAAACACTGTTACCCTGTACCTAGCAATTTATATGTATTATTTCATTTAATCCTCATAATTATTTTGAAAATAGGTATTATATGCCCATTTCTCAGATAAGGAGGCTGAAGTTTAGACAAGTTATATAATCACACAGCTCATAAATGCTGAAGCCAGGATTTGAACCCAGTTAGTGTGAATCTGGACTCTCTACTTTCAGTTATTATGGAGATACAGGCCAAAGGGTAATCCATTAGAGTAATCATTAAAATACTACACTAAATTCAGCTGCTACTGGGGCCCCTGGAAGAGCATGCAACTCTTGATCTCAGGGTCATGAAGTCGAGACCCACACTGGATGTAGAGATTACTAAATAAATAAATAGAAACTTTAAATTCAGCTGGCACTATTTCCCTCAGGTAAGAATAGTAGCTCTCTTCTTTGTCCTTGGATTAAACCTTGATAACTTCCTTCTACAAAATGAGTGAATATGTCTAGAGTGCCTAGGGGGCCTGAGAGAGGAAGAAAGATGCAAGAGTTAATCTCAGATCCTCACACACATATGGAAGAAGGAAAAATTTTTTAAGGAAAGGAAGATCCACATTAAATAAATACCACCACAGGGACGCCCAAATGGCTCAGTTAAGTGTCCAACTCTTGGTTTCAGCTCAGGCCATGATCTCAGGGTCATGAGATCAAGCCCCATGTTGGGCTCTTCACTCAGCATGGAGTCTGCTTGGGATTCTTTTCTCTTCCTCTCCCTTCCCCTCTGCCCTTCCCCCATCCCATTCATGTATCTGCACGCCCTCTCTCTCTCTCTCTCTCTCTCAAATAAATAAATAAATAAAAATCCTTTTTTTTTTTTT